ATATACTCCTTAAAATAGGGGGAGGATCCAATGAGTACACTCCTTAAAATATATATTAATTAAATAATAAAATAATTATTAGTTGACTCCGGCGTTGACCGTTGACTTCCGGCGAAAAATCATTGACTTTCGACGTTGACCGTTGACTTCCGGCATTGACTCCGGCGGTGACCCGTTGACCCCTAATATGCATTATATGTATGAAGTAAATATGCATTCAGTATCATGCATTACATATGAACTAAATATGCATGAGATATGATTTACACATGCAGTCTTTATGAACTAAATATGCACCAATAATATCAACTAAGTATGCACCTGTTATGAACTAAATATGCATCTGTTATGAACTAAATATGCATCATGAATGAACTAAATATGCAGCGAAAAATATGCAATAAAAATGTACATTTTATATAGGTAATTTATGATGCATATTTAGTTAATTTATTATGAATATTTAGGTAATTTATGATGCATATTTAGTTAATACGAAATGCATACTTGTTATATTTAAATTAAATATATAATAATATTTATATAATTAATTTATTATGCATATTTACTTAATTCATGATACATATTTAGTTCTTACGAAATGCATATTTAGTTCATGAACAGAGCATACCTATTTTATTTGAGATCCAATCATAACAATTTATTTGTGTTATTAATAAATTTAAAATTAAAATTAATTATATAATAAAAATCATTAATTATTATATTTAGTTTAATTGTATAAAATGTATATTTTATTGCATATTTTTGTTGCATATTAGTTCATTCCTGATGCATATTTAGTTAGTAAAATGTGCATGTTTAGTACATAAACAGTGCATACATAGTTGATATTACTGGTACATATTTAGTTCATAAGGATAACATATATAATTCAATTATGATGCATATTTAGTTCATACTAGGTGCATACCTATTTTATTTGAGATCCAATCATAACAATTTATTTGTGTTATTAATCAATTTAAAATTAAAATTAATTATATAATGAAAATCATTAATTATTATATTTAACTTAATTGTATAAAATGTATATTTTATTGCATATTTTTGTTGCATATTTAGTTCATTCCTGATGCATATTTAGTTAGTAAAATGTGCATATTTAGTACATAAACAGTGTAGTTGATATTACTGGTGAATATTTAGTTCATAAGGATAACATATATAATTCATTTATGATGCATATTTAGTTCATACTAAGTGCATAGTACTGATGCATATTTACTTAATACACAATGCATGCTAAGGGTCAAAGGTCAATGTTGAAAGTCAACGCCGGAAGTCAACAGTCAACTCCAAAAGCCAACGATTTTCGCCGGAAGTCAACGCCGGAAGTCAACGGTGAACGCCGAAGTCAATGCAACGCCGAAGTCAATGGTCAATTGTCAAAATAATATTTAAATAATTAAAATAATAAAATAAAGAAATAAGTAATAAAAATAAAGAATTATTATTTAATTGAAGAGTTAATCTTAGCCACACATAATGTACCAATCTAATGGCTAGGAATGAGTCTCACATTCACACTTTAAATATGTGGACTCATTGGATCCAATCCCTATATATATATGGTTGGGTTCCCATGAGAATGGTTTCTAGTGAAAGAAATAAGAATACATATTAGCCATTAGATCGGATTATCTAACGGTTTAAGAAAAATTAAATTATACCTTCAGTAAGGTTATTATGGTAAATTACACACAACACTCAAAGAGGTGGACCCACTAGTCAACTACCAACACCTGCAGATCACACGCCACCTACCAGCCCCATGCTCTGTTCTCTCTTACACAGAAACAACACACACACACACACACACATCTTCTTCATACACACAACGGTCCCCGCCACCCGCCGCCGGCCTCCGCCTTCCGCTGCCGGCAGCGCATTCCTCCACCCTAGAGCATACGGTCGTCTGGTTGTCCATCTCCTGCATGGGCGAGATCGATATCCTTGGGATCCGTCGGAAATTAGCCGGGAAACGAAGCACACGAACACGCCGGAGCAAAAATATCAGCTCCAATTCTCGG